AGCAGCAGTCTTGGCCTGTTCCCTCCTGGTGCTTCCTCTCACAACTCATGTTAGAGAGCAGGCCCAACAATGTTTAGGACAGGGCCTCTGAAACAGCAAACCCAGCACTTGCTCCATAGATTTGGGGTGGGCTGTGTCCCAGGATTCTCTGTTCTGTTCTTCTATTACAACGTGCTGGCTCTGGGTGTGCTTTTGAGGACAACTGTATAGAGGAGGATTGCAGCTAAGAGAGGTTGAGTGATCTGCCTGGAGCAATGGCCCAGTTCATGGAAACAGGGAGTCTTCCTACTTAAACTGCTCCTATGGAAGATCTGGAACAGTAGGATGTTCTAGGTGATCAGTTTTTGGGGACAGATTTCAAAAAAATTCAGCTGAGCTCTGGTGACCTACACGAAGTTCTTTGAGAAGAGATAATGGAACAGTAGGATGTTCTAGGTGATCAGTTTTTGGGGACAGATTTCAAAAAACTTCAGCTGAGCTCTGGTGACCTACACGAAGTTCTTTGAGAAGAGATAACGGTTTAGAAGCCAGGAAAGATGGCAGATGGGAAGGTCAGGAATGGCACGAGAACAGGGCCCTGCCTGGGGTGGGTCTGCCACCAGGAATGTGAGTAGGAAAGAGTCAGCCCGGGCAGGGGAAGGACTCTAGCAAATGACTGCTTTTGCTCTGCAGTTTACCTAGGATGGAAGAAATACCCTTGACCTCTCTATCCACATGCTCATCTCTTCCTTGGCTATTCATACTCTGCCTGCTTATTTCACACAGGTTCTCTTTGGAAGAAATGGATCTAGGTGCCCAAGAGAGTTTTGCCTGTTCCAGTCTAAAACCAAAAACCTCCTGTTCAATGACAACACGGAGTGTCTGGCCAAACTCCATGGCAAAACAACATATGAAAAGTATTTGGGAGAGAAATATGTCACTGCCACTGCTAATCTGAAACGATGTTCATCCTCCCGTAAGTGGATCCTAGATATCAGTATGAGGAACCAGCAACTGTTTAGGTGAAGGTCGAGGTTTAGGGGCTAAACTGCGTGCAGGAGTTACAAATTCTAAAAAAAATAATTAAAATGTAGGAAAATCTATCTCAGTTAGAAAAATATGTTGACAATATTTAGTCTTTAAAAGTACTCAAGAGGAGCTAGAGATGCAGCTCAGTCAGTAGAGTGTCTGCCTACCATGCACAAAGCCTACAGTGTTTGCCTCACATGTTCAAGCCCCAGCACTGCATAAACCACATGCAGTAGTGCACACCTGTCATCTCAGTACATGAGAGATGGAGGCAGAGGATCAGAAGCTCAAGGTCATCCTCAGCTACATATTGAATTCAAGACCAGACTGAGCTACATGAGAGAAGAGGGGTCCCAGAGTGTTATAGGGCTCCCGGCAGTGATCTTGGAGCTTCTGCACACACCAGCTCCCCTGTGCAAAGTGGCCCCCCAAGATTCCTATTCCTGATCCCCAACTCGGAGAGTCAGAGGTGCAGCACAGGCTGTGCTCCAGGGATGGGGGCAGGGCTCAGAACCTCTTCATCAGTTATTCTCAATTTAGGATTATTCAACCCCTTAAAGGAGACATTTGGCCATATCTGGAAATCTTTTTGATGACCACATCTTAGGAGGTACTGCTGGTATCAGGGGCTAGAGACCAGGTGTGTTACCAAGCAATGCACAGGATACCCCACCCCACAAGAAAGAATGACTGCAGTAAGGAAGAGGTGGTGGGGAACGTGTGGGCAAGGCAAGCTCTGACTCAGCAGCGGAAGAGGGACCAGGAAACTGTCTTAATCATTTCTTTAATTTATTGATTTTAAAGTTTGATTAAAAAGTCCGTTTCTGAATCTCCTGCTTTCTGTGCCCACAGCACTCCTGGAAGCCTGCGCTTTCCTCATGAAGTGAGCACTTAGAAAATGGTCCAGCCTTCCCAGGGAGCCTCAGCCCCAGTCCCTGGGGTCTTGCTGAGAGTGAGCTTTGCCAGTCATCTGTTCTAATTCCCTGCTGTCATTTTAGGAAGAAATAAAATGAGAACTATTTAGTTTTCTCTTCATATAAAGTACCACTTATCTTTGCACAGTAAAGTCTACATTGGCTCAAACAGGGAAAGGTGTGAAATACTTCTATCTTTTAGTCTTATTGGCCTTCAACTTCCAGTTAACCTTTAGTCACTAGTTTGTGTGTGTGTGTGTGTGCACATGTGTACGAGGGCATGTTTGTGTGTATGTGTGCACATGCATATGTGGGTGCTCATGCATATGTACAGGTGTATGTGGAGGCCAGAGGACCAACTCTGGTGTCACTCCTCTGCTCAGGCACCATCAACTTTTTTCTTTTTTGAGACAGGGTTTCCATATTTGCCTAGAATTTTCCAAGTAGGCTAGTCTGTCTGTCTTTGCCTCCTCAGCTCTGGGATTACAGTCATGTGCCACAATGCCTGGGTTTTGTTACATGAATTCTAGGGATCAAACTTTGGTCCTAATGCTTGCAAGACAAGACTTAACTGACTGGCACAGTGTGAATGAAGTGGTCCAATAGGACACTCTACCCCCTTTTCATTTCTGGATCAGAGGCACAACCTTTAGTTATTTCAATTCCAAGGCTCTTACATGCCCCTGTTGTTTGAATATGAAGTGTCCCCATGGGCTCATGTGTTTGAATATTTAGTCCCCAGCCATGATGGTGTTTCAGAATGTTGTGGAATTTTTTTAAAGATTTTTATTTATTATTTTTATTTTTTGTGTATGAGTGTATTGCCTGCACGTATGTAAGTGCACCTGTGTGTCATGCAATGCCCATGGAGGTCAGAAGAGAGAGTCAGATTCCCCTGGAACTGGAGTTACAGACAGTTGTTAACTATCATGTGGGTGCTGGGAATCAAACCCGGGTCCTCTGCAAGAGCAGCCAGTGCTCTTAACCGCCAAGTCATCTCTCCAGCCCTGGTTGTGGAATTTTTAGGAAGTGGAGTCTTGCTGGAGGATGTGGGTCGTTGGGGACAGGACTTGAGGTTTTATAGTCTGTCTCCACATAGCCCAGCCCCACTTCCTGTCCTCTGCTGTGCTTCCTGTTCCTCCAAGATTTGAGGTGAGGAGTCCCAGCTACAAGCTCCTGTTAGCATGGAGTGGCCTGCCACCATGCTGTCCCCTCCGTGATGGACTGAACCCCCAAACCATAAGGGGTAAAAACCTTCTTTGATGAAGTTGTGTCTTTTCAGGTCTTTGGTCACAGTAACAAGAAAAGTAACTAGCATAGTCTGTCATGTCTAGATTTTCTGTCTGTGCATCAGGCTCACCATGTAGAATGTGAAGGATGTTAGCAATTTATCAACTCCACAGCAGCTGTGGGCATGAGCGCCACCCTGCTCCTTATGATGAAAGCGATAGTCCTGCTGGCTTCAAGTACCATGTCCCAAAATAGGTTCTTACCAGCATTTAAACAGAAGTGAGAAAAAAAAAATACCAGAAGCTGTGTCTGAATGTTAACATGGAGCCAAAGAGTTCATGTTAGAGTTGGCATCTGTTAGGAAAGCATCTTGTGAGGTCCTGTTAGCTGAGAGAAGTGAGTAATCCATTTACCCTAAAGGTATGAGCTTAGAGCCAAACATAGCTGGCTCTAATAAACGAATGTGGAAACTTACTGTTAGCTGAATGTTGGAGAGGTATGGAGTAGGCTGAAGAACCTGCTTGGAGAGGATGAGTGGGTCCCGGGAGCACAGCACCTTCAGAAAAGCATAGTCAGGGAGAATAGCCACCCCTGCCCAGGATAACTATGGAGCCTTCACACTGATACCCAGGATGCAGGGATGACTAGCCTCTGTTGACCTTCTTGTCCTTTCCTTTGGGAATGAAAACACAGAACAGTTGTCTGTCTAGGGGAAAAGCATGTAGAGAGAAGACAGTGGCTCTGAGACAAGAAGTGATTGAAGGAAAATAGGAAAAGAGTAGAGATAGTGGTCAGGGGACAGTCAGGTCCTCAAGATCTGTGCTGGGCCCCGAAGACATATTGCTTGAATTTTAAGGAAGAATTATATTCCCCAAATATTAAAAGATGTGGGGACGCTTGTCTAAGGTAGGGAAAGGTATAAAAAAAAAGAGAAAACACATTTGCTTAGCTTCTGATTTGCCAAGGCCACAGTCAAAGCTTCCTGGTCAGGGCTAGAGAGCTGGCTCAGTGGTCAAGCGCACTGGCTGCTCTTGTAAAAGACCTGGGTTGGGTTCCCATCTATGTGGCATCTAACAACCATTTATAACTCCAGGGGATCTGATGCCCTCTTTAGGCCTTCACAGGCATTGCACACACAGGTACACATACATACATACATGCAGGCAAAACACTCATATACATAAAATAAATTTTAAGAAAATTATAAAAAAGCATTCTTCATCATTGGAAGCTATGTATGAACTCTGGTGTGAATGAAACACCTCACCAAGAGAGCTGCTGACAGTCTACATTTCTTGTATCCTCACAGGAGAAAACAAACAGATAGACAGACAGACAGACAGACAGAGCTGCTGACAGTCTGAGTTTCTCATATCCTCACAGGAGCGGACCCCCTCTCTCTCTCTCTCTCTCTCTCTCTCTCTCTCTCTCTCTCTCTCTCTCTCCACCTCCCCTCCCTTTCAGAAAATCTGGATGTGTGCATGTGGAGTCCCAGGACTATCTGGATGCCTCTCTCCTTCCACACGATGCCAATCCCATCAACTCAAGCTTGCTGCGTTCTTCCACACTCACACTTAGCTGAGTGTGTGCATCAGTGACCTTTTCTACTTTCTATGACAAAGTACCTGACAAAACCAACTTCAGGAAGAAAGGGTCTATTTTCACACACAGTTTGAGGGGACAGTTCATCACTATGGGGACGTCATGGTGGGCAGAGTATGAGGTAGCTGGTCACATTGTGTCCACAGTCAGGAAGTGGGGCGGGGGACTGGCTCTCTGCTCACTTCCTCCTTTCAAATGATCTCAGAACCCCAGTCCATAAGGCGGTGCTGCCCACGTCCGGAGTGGGTCTTTCCTCCTCAGTTAAGCCTTTCTGGAAACACCCTCACAGATACACCCAGAGATGTGTTTTGATGATGCTGTTGGCAATGAAGATGAATGTTCACAGTGTAGGCTCAGCTTAGGATCCCTGTACCATTTCCTCCAACCCAGGTTATTTACAGCCACGTCCTCACCAAATGCTCTGAGCCTTGCATTCAACAAGCCCTGTCTGTGGTATCATTTCCTTGATTTTTCTATCTATAGCAGGGTCTCATGGCATTTCAGAACTCTATCATGTTGTAATGGATCCAAGTCCTGCCTTTCCCCCTTAAGGTTTCCCAACCCCCTGTGTACAGCCCCTCGGAAGGTCCCCTGTTCTCTCTCTGACCTGGTGAGAAAATGGCCCCCAACACAGTCACAAATGGAACTTGAAATTTTTGTCAGATCTTTACCTTCAGAAACTCAAAATGGAACATGTTTAAGAAAACTTGGCCTATGATTCTACCTCAAACCCCTTGTCTAAAATGTTGACATTTTAAAAGCTTTATAGGGTCAGCTGCAAGACAGAAAAATAACCAAACAAGCAAAAAACCTAAAAGCCCCTTAGCTTCCATTTCCTCTTTGTTGAGCTGAGGGCATTGTTTCCTGGTGACATGCCAACATTTGAAATTACTCACCTTCCCAGATACATTGCTTCTCCATTCCCCACCTGCCAGGGAAAGGAGAGAAAGAAGATGGCCTGGGACCGACAATATGAGACTGCCCTCACTGCCCTCACCACCCTCCCACCTCCACCGCGACCCAGACCAAGCCAGAAGGATGCTGTTAGGGCAGACAGCTTTTCCCAGCCCTGCCCTTCCTCGCCTGTCTTCTGGCCCCAGTTCACAGAACCGAAGGAAACCAAAAACAGCCTGCCAGGTATCTCTTGTGGACCAGACCTTGCGAGGGGGAGTCATGCCTTCCGGGTCTTTCTTCGATGGAATTCTCTACAACCTCTGAAGGATCAAGCAAGCCGGCCGAGGAGTGAGCCCCATGCCCATGAGTGCCTCTACTACTGGCAGTCAGGGCAGGAGTTGAGTGTTTCCAGGTTCTTGGCCTCTTATCCAAAGAATTGCAATAAAAATTTACACATTTTGCAAAAGTAGCAAGGAAACTTTACCTAAAACAAAGCAATAGAAAAGACCAGAATGCACTACAAGGGAGCGGCAGACCGTGTGATTGAAGATACTCAAGGGCCCAATTACTGTTTGGGGCTTCCTTTTATGGGCCTCAAGAGAAGGAGGAATTTAGTTAACAGGGGTGTAGTAACGGTGGCTCTCTCTTCTGATTGATAGGTTAGGTCATATAACTTTTCTCCTGCACATGTCCCTTCCCATAATGCATCTGAAGTTAATCATATGCATGCTCAATTATGCACAGCCAGAAGATGGTAAATGGGGGATTCTTTCTAAAAGTTCACTTGGACACAGTTTTGTCCTACCATGCACCCAAAACCAGCTCAGGCCAGATCAATCATTTTACCCTCAAACCAGGGTATATTGGGACTCTGAATAGAAATTGGTGTGCATGTAGCTCCATGCAGGTCACACTTGGAGGTTTGCTAGATGTATTGAGAATTAGTTGTGCAGGGCAGTGCAGGTAAAACAGCCAGGCTGCCAAGTGTGAATTAGAAAAGGGGAGATGTGCATAACGCAACAAGCAGAGCCCTAGGTGACTAAACTATCCCCTGTGCCTGACTGCTGTGGCAGACAGCGTCAGTGGTCAACTTGACACACCTGGGAAGAGGGCACCTCAACTGGGAAGTTTGTTTTGTAGGACTGACCGGTGGCCGTGTCTGTGAAGCATTTTCTTGATTACTGGCTGATACAGGAGAGCCCAGCCTGGGCAGGTGGACTTAGGCTGCTTAAGAAAATTAGCTGAGGGGCTGGAGAGATGGCTCAGCAGTTAAGAACACTGGTTGTTTTTGCAGAAGACCTGGTTCAAATCCCAGCACCCACATTGCAGCTAACAACTGTCCGTAACTCCAGTCCCAGGGGATCCAACAGCCTCTGTCTTCTGCAGGCATTGCATGACATG